ACAATTAGAAAAATCATCTGTTCTTCTGTTACTCAAAGATAACCACAGCATTTTGTCATATGATCATTCCTAACTTTTTAGAAATGAATTATGATCATTCTGTACATAATCCACTGCAAGAAAAATAATGTATATAACAAGTCCTGGACAAAAATATTGGGTCTCAGTATGAAATTAATTTCCTGGTAAATTGATGACCTTAATCCACTTGATGTTTTATTGGACATATCCCTCCCAAAGCCAAGATGCTCATACCTATTTGTCCTGATGAAAGATGAAAGTCAAATACTTAAAACAGATCTTTTTCTCTTTAAAAACTAGCTTTATTTAAAAGAATCTTCAGCATAATAACACTATAGGAAACAAACTTACCATACACATTATTCAAGAAAGCCTGCTATACATCATTTCTACCAATAATAGGTCTATATACTGACATTCTTTGTACAATGCACAAATGACATTAGCATTATCCCTGAAAAGAATGGCCAACAATAACATGAACTGTCTTGACAGTGGAACCTTTATTTGTTTTATTACTTTAGACTAAAAAATTGAAAAGTGGAAGGCAAAGTAAAATCCAGTTTTAAATTCTAGCATGGTGTTTAGGGAAGAAGGGAAAAGGATCAGAAGGGAGAAACTGTAAGAGTTAAACATCTCAAAAATATAAAGTAGAACTGGCTTATTACTATTTAGAGTAATTGTTTAAAAGTATTTAGAACAGAGAATGTAATTAACACTTGGAAGCCTTTAAACAAACTACCTCATGATTTACTATAATCTATCAGTTACCAAGACAATTTTATTTCTTTGAAAATTGTAATATATATATATACACACACACACACATACACACACACACCACATAAGGATAATAAGGAATTTGGAGTGATCTAGTAACCTCATACTTAAACTTTGCCACAAAACAGTTCATGATCATTTAATACTAATACTTCTTTAAATCTCTATAATTAAAATAGAAACACCCAGTTCTAAAAGATTGTATGTAAAAGTATTACACACACACACACACACACACACAGTACACACACACAACCCCTAACATGTAATATTAAAGTTTTTAACACAAAAAAATAGACCTATGAAAATATGGGCACTCAAGTAAAATATAATGAGATTATGACACAGTATGTTACCTGGCATTTTAAAAAAATATTAAGACTAAGTCAGATTTATTGCTATATTAATCCTATCAAAAGTTGACAATCAAAAGTACAAAACATACCACAACCACCATGCCAAATATGATGCTGTACAGAAATGTTATTAACATAATATAGGTATACATTTATTTTCTAACATACTCACTGGTGTAGTAAAACATTCATTCAGGACAGTTTGAATTGATAAAAGTCTAATATCTTTAACATTTTTAAAAGATATGCAGTTTAAGCACTCAGGAGCAGGGTTTTTTTCTTTCAAGCATGTGATTTCAAATATACAAACGTGCACTGGCCAAGTATCATCTATTACAGTTCTTTTGGTTGTTTTTATGACAAAATAAGAATGATTTAAAACTAATTTTCTTAAATAAATGCCTCTAAAATTTAAAAACGTTTTTAATTTGCCTTCAAAATTAAACATTTTTCCTTAAATCTTGATTATGACTTTTATTAATAAGTCTTCCCATCAGATAATACAAAGAAAACTGCATTCAAGTCTTTGTATCAACAGTACAAATTCCAAGTAAAGTAGAGGAGTTTTATGGTATCTTAATCACTTCTTAATAAGTGAAGATTAGTTTTACTACTTATTTTTGTCATGGTAGAGAGAATGATACTACTTTTGGTTGGGAGATATTTGCTTAAGTTCAATGTCTATGGTATAATTTTAGTAGCATGGGCTAAAAGAATACTAATAAGCACTGTCAGTTAATTTCTTGGTAAATCATATCTATAGAAGATCAAATTTTAAATTTTATACAAATTTTAGTTTTATGAGTATCATAAATTGCTAACACCAATTTTACTCCTCTCTCACATTTCAAAGACATCAAACCATCTACTAATCCATAAATATTGATGTTTCACATACTTCATAGAGTAGCTTAAAACATACCAGCATAAGAAGTAATTAGTATTACATAGTAATTTCCTTTGCCATAGGAATAAATGGTGGACAAAGTCTGGAAACATTTTGTTTTCCAATTTGAATTACAGTAATTTTGTCACAGACCACAGCACTAGTGCATGTATTACTTTAGACATGCTCTAAGAACAAAACAAAACTTACTGCAAAAATACATGTCACCAATGTGGAACACATTCAGATTTGTATAAAAGTACTGAACTAATATCCCAAAAAGAGGTATATGTAAACAGTACATAAGGAAGAAATAGTTTTAATATGAAACAATCATTTAAGTCACATACATCATGATAAGAAGCAGGACTTTCTTTTATAAAAGATAACATTTTAACTAACAAGCAACATCATCTATATTATCTACAGAATAAGAAAGGTACCAATATTTAGAGTAAGTTTTAATATAATTGCAAGTAAATGTATTATTGATAAAATATGACAAAGATGAATCTTATCCATTGGATTTCATTTAAAGTTTTTAATAAGCACAGGCAGTTTGTGATGTGTTAATGCCTGGCATACACATGGCCATTTTCTTCCCTTCATTTCCCTTTAACCACTTGTCTTGGAAGATGTTATTGTTATCCCTAGCCTACTCACTCCAGAGATGCCTGCAAACCTCTCTCTACCAAGAGCTCGAAAACGCAGTTGTGACTTTTTTTACTGCTCTACTGGATAAATGAAAAAGAAAGGGAAAGTTTCTCAGATTTGAAAATGAGGAAATCTTTCGAGTTCAGAATTAGAGGACAGCAAGTTGTGAAAAGGCAAAACAACCTAAAGAAATTAGAAATAGTCTTAAGACAATACCAGTTAATTTGCTAAAAATACTGTTTTCCCTGATGCCTGAAATGTGGTCATACAGTCTAAAATGGTAATATTAAAGACTCATTTTGAAGATTTGTTTTTTTTWAAAAATTAAGTAATTTTCTCCATTATCTTCACTCATATGAGCAGAAAAATGCTTTTCTCTTAAATCTAGCCAACAGATAACGACACAAACATAATTTCTGTTTAGAGGAAAGATGGGAAAATTTGAGAGACAGAGCATCCAGGAGGGGGAAAGACAAGCTTGTTTGTGCAGCATTACACCAGAGAGTTTAAAACTGTAAAAGAGCCACTGGGAAACAACTCACGGGACAGAACTTAACCTTCCTCAACACAGAAAAAAGTAAAGATCTCTGTTTTTTTCTCTTACATTGACTGGTTTCCTTAAGAAAACTGAAATCTCAGTATAACAGCAGTTAACTACATTATGGTTTAAATACACCTTTATGAGCTTCCCTAGGAATCTAATCATTTTATATAGAGTCCAAGCCACTATTTACAAATGAACTTTGGGAGCCTGGATGCTTTTCAACTTTTTTAATTAAAAAAAAAAAAGTCTAAAATAGCACAAATGCTCATGCATATGAAAACTCTGTACATTGCAAAAGAAATCCAAACACTTTCTAACTCCCTTTTAAAAAAATCATTGCTTATGTTTTCTTACTATTAAATACAATTAGTATGCTGGATAATAAATACTAGCATTCTAATTTGTTCAAGACACAAAAGTTTGAAAGCATGTTAGATGAAAACTCTTGGTACTGATTTTATGTGGATGATTAAAGTCAGCAGATTTCATGGTGACCCATACTCGTAAAGAGTTTTTTTCTGCCACTAAGCAGAACTGGGAGTCTGGGCGGGGGAGAACCTACCAAAAAACCTGATTTACATTGTGCTTATCTATGAAGACTAAGAACTAGTACAAGAAAATCTTCAGTTTCATGTATATAACCTTCTAATTTGGGTAACAAGAATCATAATAGCAGTACTCTAAAGCATTTTACTCAAAAGGAAATCACTGATCACAAATCTAATTCTAAGCACTCTATCTGGAGAACAATTAATTTTCTATTATAAACTAAGCTATTTCAGTATTAGCATGTCCAGTAACATCTAGAAGCAAGTTGACCAGGAATCATGAATGAGCAAAGCAAGTCCTAAGAAAAAAACTGATGCTTGAAAACTTTTCATTAGTAACTTGGCATCGGTGAGTGAGCCTAGATGCTAATATTTAGCCATTTTGAACTTTAGTGAAACTTGAGAATGTAGGAGAAATTCTAATCCTACTTGGTTGTGTGTCCTTGTATATGTGTGCAGGAGATGAGGCTTTTCAGGGAAGGAAAGGGATAATAACTCGAAAGATACAATTCCACCACCTATATCCATCACTGCATATTTCTGTAGTTGAGAGAAGCTCAACACTTTTCCTAAGAAAATAGTATCAATTTGTTTAACGGACTTTTTTGTGACAAATTGGACAAATTTTCTGGCCATCTTCATAATTCATCATTTTTCCTACCCCAAAGCACCTACCATCTATATAATTTTAGAGTGTTGTAGAGACAAATGTAGAATTAGTAAAAAATTAATTCAAACACATGAAAATATTCATCAGCAATGATTATAGTTTGGTTGATTTATGTCAAAATCAATCATAGGTTTTCCTTTAGAACCATTAGATTCTTAGAGTAAGGTGTTTTGAAAATCTAAACACTTGAATAAAAATTTATTTGTTTATATGGTTTTTTAAGAACCGCTTAGAAAATGAAAGAAATACCTCATAAATATTTTAGATTAGCCTGGGAGAGGTTATTTCATTTTTACAAAAACAGGTAACTACTTAAAGTGTAAGCAACAAAGGTTTTAAGAAACTGCATACTCAATTTTAGCAATGAGGGGCTCAGTGGTAGAGCACTAGCCTAGCGCCTAAATAAAGTAAAGGTATTGTGTCCATCTACAACTAAAAAAAATTTTTAAAAAAATTTAGCAATGGGCTGGGGATGTGGCTCAAGTGGTAGCACGCTCGCCTGGCATGCGTGCGGCCCGGGTTCGATCCTCAGCACCACATACAAACAAAGATGTTGTGTCCGCCGAAAACTAGAAAATAAATATTAAAAAATTAAAAAAAAAATTTAGCAATGAGCACAACTCAAGTACACACTGCCACATCAAGTGTTAAATCCTGAGGGCATTGGAAGTTTCCATTAAAAATATATATCTAGTTTAACTCAGTCAAAAAAAGTCATGATCTGATGCTAGAAGTGGTGATATAGCATGTACTCTATTATTTCTTAAAAATCATTACTCAAGAAAATTTCAGGAAAAACAAAACTAGGTCCTTCAATGTTTAGAAAATTATCTCTCTTTAACAAAACTACAAAGTAAGCAAAATGGAATCTTCAGGTATGTACTAAGCATCATCAAAATGCCAAAGTCAGCCCAAAACAATGCATTTTGACCTGCTTCAATTGGTAAAGTTTTCACACAAAAGAACACCTAGTATTAGAGTTTATCTCATTTCATTTCCTAAAATTGTGAAGATATACAACTCTGAAAATATTTTGTACTCACCTCTAACTAGTTGAGGGTAGAAGGAGAAAACTATTACTTGTACCATATGAAATTGCTGTTTTGTGGGTCAAAATTAAAACACTATTTTTAAAAGTTAAGTTTTATTCCATTAAGATATGTATCAGAAACATTAGCATTAGTTTTCTCCATTTTTATAGAATTCATCATTTTCTTAGGATGTATATATTATTCAAATACTCTAGTTACTGATTCTCAGTTGGGGAACATGTTGTTTCTTAGAAAAAGCTCCAAATGATGAAAAAGATGGTAATCCATTGAAGGTCCAGGAACTATGATAGATAATGACAAAATTTCACCACCCAAGTCAATTAACTTTGTGTTAGTGACTTGCGACATATAAAGTCCTGTCATGTAGAAATGAGGGTTTATGTTTGTTAACCAAAGGATGTTGTTAAATCAAAATTTTCATACATAATTCAGATTTCTTGGCAACATGCTGCTGCTGTCATTGCTTCCCCAGGTTCAAATTGTAGTAATTATCTCCTTCAAGGATCACCATTGTCTTCCAAACTTTTTTTGGTTGCAATGATAATGGTGGTGAATTATTAGAGTTTCATCAACATTCAATCATTGTATAAATTACTATCAATTGTCATACTGTATCTTTTTATTTATTTGGTCAACAGTTATGGACTGCTCTCAACATGTTTTGTTTTGTTTTCTATTTGAGTCTGAGTGAGCATACCTTCAACTGTAACTGTTCTTTCTCTCTCTAGAGTGTACTCTCGGTTCCATTTTTACACATTACCCAGTCACAGCAAAAACTCCTTAGCCTTCAGCAAGGCCTCAAATTACTGATTGTTTGTAAGTTAGCTTTCACCTAAGCTCTTAATTGGTCTTTATTTAAATGGATTTTGATCTTCCCTGAGGTACATATTGGAAATTCAGATCCCCAGCACAAGAATTTTCAAACTAAGTAGTTAGTTCTTTTGCCAGCAGAGTCCTCTAAAGCCAAACCGGTGTTTCTACCTTCTTCATTTGCAATATGTCCAAGTTTAAAATCATAAMAAAGAAAGTGTTCACAATTCTTCAGAGGACACCATATTATTTATTTCTCTGGACAACAATAACAAAACAACTCAATAACCAAAGAAAATTAAGACCAAAATACTATCATAATTCTAAATAGTAATACTGGAAACATACTTTATGACAACTTTACTAAGTGCAGTCAATTTTCAACTGATCTAATATTAGCAATTTCATGTGATACAATCCACAAGTTAATAAACGCTGAGAATCTATATGCTAAAATCTGTCTCTGTCTCATATCTGTATACATATCCTGAAAAGACTAATTTTAAAGTATGAAATTCACTTATTTCAAAGACCCTAGTAGAGGAGGAATCTAGTGTCATACTCTTCTTATTTAAAATAAATCCATTAAAATGTATGCTTTCCCCCATGTTATACCTCCACATATTATGTTTGGAAATATTTAAATGGATCCTTCAGAAACTTAATTAAATGTTTAATGTGATACAGCCAAAATTCACCACTGAAATACACATTTTAAAAGTTAAAACTTGCCTAGATTTGTTATATTATTTTGAAGCTTCAAGAGGCTTTTATGTTTATGATAAATAACTACTAACATTTATTTGTTTCTAAAGTACCCCACATACATTATCCTCATTTAAGAGAGCAAACAAAGACAATACAAAGTTGTACTAGTAATGAAGTGAAATATTAATAAAAACTAAAAGGTAAATGTTTTCTGTGTGTATTTAAAAAAATAACGTAAAACATTAAAGTCCTGTGTCACCAAACCTCTGTAATACAGAGGGAAAACCCCACTTTAGTTAATGCTTGTGATTAAGCATCACTGCCCACTGCAGGTGGACCAAAAGTTTCTCTAGTGCGCATTAATTGGACATCTTTATCAGCCATACAGGTATCACAGCCCCATACTGCTGATGCTTCTGCTGTTAGTAGGCCATAAGCTGTTTCAGTCATTCCTGTACAGATCCGGTGAAACCATTTCTGACAAGAGGCCTCACATAAGATGGCATCCTGATCATCATTCACTTCATTTGTACAAATTCCACAAGGATACACTGGGTCAGAAGACGAATGGCCGTGACGGGTTGGGTGGAGAGATGATTTATTGCTTTTTTCAGTGGTGCAGGCATCTGTTGCACCTCTAGGTTGTCGTGGCTTGTTCTGTGTCCCATTTGCATGGCTGTTGTTTGTAGCTTCAGTGCTACTTGAACGACTGTTCTCCTGATTTACTGCATTGTTTCGATTAACATTTTTTAATTCAATATTGCTCTGATTCACTGTATCCTCCATATTTAAGTGAGGTGGATGAGCAGATGAATTTTGATTAGTGTTTTTAGTTGCTCCTTGACTAAAGTCTTGTTTCGGAGGTGGTGCTTTTGCTTGACCAAAAGTGTTTGGAGGTGGAATAAAAGAATGATTAGATTCTAATGGAGAAGWAAAACTTGAATTATTTCCAGGGACAAAATTAGATGCCAAATCAGGGTTAGATACTTGGCTAGTATTCTGTGGAGGAATCTGATTAAAGTTTTCAGCAGGATTTTGTCTAAAATGTTGATTAGGCATGTTAATATTCTGATTTAGTACATTATTATAAGATGGATTTCCAAAACTTGAATTATCATGTGGCCCAAAGTTAAAAGCATGAGGTCGATTAAAACCCATGCCCAAAGGATTCTGAGGAAATGGGTGTGGCTGATTCCTGAGCGAATAAGGTCCACAATAAGGGGAAGACATTCTTGGGGGAACGTGAGGTGGCATTCTGAATGTGCTATAGCCTCCAAAGCCAGGATAACCAGGGCCAAGATATGGATTTGATGAAGGTAGTGGTTTATAGGAAATAGTATTATAGTTGTCATCAAATGGATTAGCAGCCACTAGATGGTCAGAGTTTGGATTCGGTGGTGGAGCATACTCAGATAATGGAGGAAAAGAAGGTCCCTGAAAAGAAAATGTAAAGTTCATGTTCATAACTAAAAGAAGTCATTACAATTTTCCTGTTATCTTAATACCTATGAATTTGGTTTTAGTCAAGTTTCTCTTATGGTGTTATAAAAATTTAATTTCTTCACTTGACCTTTCAATTACAATTAATTTTAACATATAATTATGCTTAATGATAMAAATAGTCATGTTTCATTTAGGAAAGGAAATAAGTATGCTTTTCTGAGCTCAAATCCATTGTTATTTCAAATCTCTCAAGTATTTAACCTTCAAAAGAAGTTTCATTATCATAATTTTCATTTAGTATGTTTTCCTGTAACTAAACTCTTTCACTTAAAACACTAACGCCAAACTACCTTTTAGATCCCTCCAACCCAAAATACCTTTTAGATCCTTCAAAAATCATAAAATTAAATAACAATAAATAGGATCTAATTTTTTTCCTCTTAGCTTAACTTCAGGGAGATACAATTAAAGCATTACCAAAACACTAAGCTCTAGACTTCACACTGGAAAAATAAATTGCCAGATTTAATCACATTGCAAGTTTATCAGATAGTGGCCAAAATGGAAAGGCAAAGTTATTTGTACAAATATCATACTTATTTATAGCCTTTATTATCAAAAGAGTGCTTCAAACTTAAAGAATAAAGCCATAAAAGCCTGTATATATAATCATTTATTACAACCACAAGTTTCAATAATGGATGCCTCCATCATAATTGCTTTGTGAAAAATGCACATAACACTGAATTACTATAACGACTTAATATTACTTCAGGTTAAATTTGTTTGTACATATTTTTTAAATCTTGTAATAGAACGCACAAGCACTTTTGCCATTAAAAAATCTTTAAGTAAGATTTAAGAACAAGTATTTTAATTTGTCTGCCTATACTTACCTTGAACTATTTACTCTAGGCCTACCCAAAGTTAGTCATTGATTGAGGAATAAAAAACAAACAAAAAAATCACTGAGGAATTCACTATTAGGTTCTGGATAAAGATAGAAAACAATGCCCATTATCAAATTTAAAATTTGCTTTATTAGCCTGATCATACCAATAAGGGAAAACTATTAATAAAGAAAATGTCAATTTACCTGTGTATTTGCCTTTCGTTTTTTCTTATCTGGGCTTCCTAGTTGCACACCTGGTCCTCCTAACCCATCCAGTCCACTATCACCACCTAAAAAAAAAAAAAAAAATCCCAATAATCTTTCCACTTATAAATGAAATAATTTTATCTCTTATAGCAGTACCTATTATATTTAATCTATTAATATGCTTTCTATTTTCATTAGATGAAAGCAATATTCAGCTTTTAGTATCTTTGGTCTTTAGAAAGTCTTTTCCATAGTTTCATACAGAAACAGTCATTCTTCTCTGCTTCCATATTTGCTATTGGGGTTTATATTTTTTTTATTGGTTATTCAAAACATTACAAAGATTGCAGAATCACATCGGTTACACATCCACATTTTTACATAATGCCATAATAGTAACTGTTGTACTCTGCTTGGGGTTTATATTTTGTTCCTAGCACTTCATTCTGTTTCCTGGCTGTCATGAACTGAGCAGTTTTCCTCTGCCATCTTTCTGCCTCACCTCAGGTCCAAAGCAATGGAACTGGCTGACCATGGGATGAACCTGTTAAATAGTAAGCCTTTACAATTTAACATTTCCTCCTCTAAGTTATTCTTGTCTCATATTAGTTACAGTAATGCAAAGCTGACTAAAACATTAGTTTGTTTCCAAAGATAATTGGTATTTAGATCTAGACCAGAAGATGGTTTCTTCTTCCATCAAGGGACACAATATTTCTTGTTGCTTTTCTTTAGCACTTGTTTTAATTTTCTATTGTATAAATTATCACACATTTGGGTACTAAAAACAATGTCCATTTGTGGGTAGATGTGTAGTTCAGTGGTAGAATGTATCCTTAGCATGTGAGGCCCTAGGTTCAATACCCAGAATAAACAAACAAACAAAAAAGCCCATTTGAACAGAAGTGGATAAAATACTTTCTAACTCGTTCATTCATTCTATTAGGCCAGTATTACCTTAATACCAAAGACAGATAAGAAGAGAGTTTTCAAGATAGTGGATTAGAAACAACCAACACTCAACTGCTTATCTACAACTTGGAATCAAAACAACTAGAAAGCTGCTACTCTTCCAGGTTAGTGACTGTGGGAAAAAGCTTGAGTTCAATAGTGAATAGAGGCTTGGAGAAGCTCAGATACTCTGGATAGTGGAAGAGAGAATAAGAAAGAGTGCCCCAACACTGAGTATATGGCAGCAGGTAGGGAGAGTGGAGAAATAGGGGAGACCCACTACACACAAGCAAAGAAATTGGCACAATCAGAAGGGCATTGTGAACCCTGAACACAACTGATCTAAGATCTGCCTAACAGGCTGGGGCTGGAGAAGTTCTCTGCACGTGACAACCATAATGTTGGTTTTCATCTTGGAAGGCTAGTTTGCTATTCTGGGAAACAAAAAACCAAAAATTTTCCTATTTCTTAGAACCTGCGGCAAACATTACTACACTGTCTCAGTGAGCAAGTTTATTAATTTATTTTTTTGTAGGATGTCTTATTTTTATTAGCATAAGATCTCTGACATCATGTTCAGAGTTGTTAGGGTAGGAAAGAACAAGAGGAACCCTAAAGTCAGGGGGAAAATGAAGAAGAAACAGAGAAATAGGGACAAAGAATAATTCAGTGGTTTTATCTTGGAAGTCAAAGTCAGAGGGACATCTAAAGTTTTTTTTTCTTCAGTATTAAAATTCTTTTTTTTTKWGAGAGAGAGAGAATTTTTAAATATTTATTGTTTAGTTTTTCGGCAGACACAACATCTTTATTTGTATGTGGTGCTGAGGATCGAACCCAGCGCCGCGCACATGCCAGTCAAGCACAATACCGCTTGAGCCACATTCCCAGCCCAATATTCTTTTTTTTAAAGCAAAAGTTTGCTTGCTTATTTATTTATTTATTTATTTATTCTTTTTAGTTATACATGACAATAGAATATATTTTGACATATTCTTGAGGTTGTACATGATGTGGAGTTACATTGATCATATATTCATATGTGAACATAGGAAAGTTATGTCCAATGCAGTCTACTGTCTTTCCCAATCCCATCTCCTCCTCCTTTTCCCCCATTCCCCCCTGTCCAATTCAGTGAACCTCCACTCTTCCCTATCCACCAATTATTGTGAGTCAGCATCCGAATATCAGAGACAACTTTTGGCCTTTGGTGTTTGGGGTTTGTCTTATTTCACATAGAATGATAGCCTCCAGTACCATCCATTTACTGGCAAATGCTATAATTTCATTCTTCTTTATGGCTGAGTAATATTCCATTGTATATATGTACCACTCAGTGGGCATTTTTTTTTTAAGAGAGAGAGAGAGAATTTTTTTTAATATTTATTTTTTAGTTTTTGGTGGACACAACATCTTTATTTGTATGTGGTGCTGAGGATCGAACCCGGGTCACACGCATGCCAGGCAAGCGTGCTACCGCTTGAGCCACATCCCCAGCCCTCAGTGGGCATTTAACTTGAGACCTAGTTTGGCCTCAGGGGAATACCACTGAAATAAACCTCTAAAACCTTTATGCAATAGGAAACAGGTCATAGAAACTAGAGCAGAATACACTTCCCACTTAAGATGGCCAGCTGAGGAAGTTCAGGGGACCAAGCTGTTACGGATGATTATGTAAGTGAGCTGGATCCTGGAAGACCAGAATCATGGGTAGTGGACTACACAGAACCCACCATGTCCCTATGCCCAATGAAGATAGTTACCTTGTCTTCCAAATGGGCTTCACAAAGGGTTCTGGAGACCCAGATGTGCTGCCTGACCCTTGCAGTGTGATAAGCTAATCTCACTGGAGAAAATTTCTGCCAGGGGACTCTGCCTTCCATGCTAGCTTATACTGGTGAGCAGGACAGCTAAGAACTATTTCAAATGCTTCAGGTCACAAATCACTCCTGCTGGCTGCCTGGTAAGCAAAGCAAAAGTAAGAAGGAAAGGGTGAATAACCCTCAACCTTTTCTCTTTCCAGGGGCACATGGCCTAAGAATAATCAGAAAAAAGTGCTGATTGGAAATAGGTAGCAAACATCCACTACTTTTGCCTGCATGATCAACAACCTCAGCAAATAATGTTTTTGTTTTTAATTTTAGTACTGGGGATTGAATCCAGGGCCTCATGAAGTGCTCTACCACTGAACTACATCCCAGTCCCTTTTATTTTCTTTTGAAACAAGATCTCATTAAGTTATCAAGGCTGGCCTCAAACTTGTGATCCTCCTGTCTCAGCTTCCCAAGTAGCTGGAATTATTGGGGGGCTGGGGGGTACCACCTTGTCAGGCTAACATTTTCATTTTTTTTACTATTTGATTCRTGTGTGTGTGTAAATTTTTTTTTCAATTTCTTTCTCCTTCTTCTTGTTAAGTTGCTGAGGCTGGCCTCAAACTTGTAATCTTCCTGCCTCAGCCTCCAAAGTCTCTGGAATTATAGGCATCTGTAACCATGCCTGGCTCAAATTTTTTTCTTCTCTTTTTGGTTTTCTTTATTTTTTTAACTATTGATTTTATATTTTCTCCTAGTTTCATTCTTTTCTCTTTTTGAATTTTCTATTTTTTTTTAAATTTTCCTGTCCCCTTTTATCTGTCTTAATTTTCTATCTTTTTTAAACTTTTCAATTTATTGTGTATTATTTTACCTCCATAATTTCTGTTGTTTGCAATGTGTACATCATAGTCTTTGCTTGGTTTTTACTTTCTGTACCTGCTCTGCTTCTATTTGTTGTTGTTATTTTTTTTTTTTTTTCTCTTCTTTCTACATGGTGCCAGGGATCAAGTCTTACACTTTGAGCATAGTGGATAGATGCTCTACTGCTAAGAGACACTTCCAGCCCAGCTAAGAGAAATTGCATTTTACTTTACCCAAAACCCAGCTCTACTCAAACGTTGCTGGATACTTCAGCTTAAAGAACGAGAGAGACAAAGTCCCCAGCTGAAGACTTGGCCCCGGGTAGGCATGGCTGGGAGAAACTTTAAAACCCGTTCTTGAAATTCACCACCAAAGCAACAACAGAGAGAAATAACACAAAGATTGTAGAAAAATGCACCTATCAAGGACCTTAGCAGAGGTTGCTCCCATACCCTTTCAGAACACGTTAAAAACTGGAGAGCTGGGGATATAATCAGTTGATAGACTGTTTGCCTTGCATGCACAAGGCCCTGGTTTCAATCCCCAGCATCACCCATCCCCCCACAAAAAAGTAAAAAACTAAAGGAGTGACCACAGAATGCCTACCTAATATATTCCAGAGGGATCCCATTTTTCTGAGGCCTAAAGAAGAAGTGGAACCCTAAGGCTCTCACACTGCACATGTGTGTTAAATACCACTAATCACAGCCATACTATAAAGTCTGGTTGGAATTAAACTCAACACTTCACAACACTCAGATATCACAGGACACGTTATCAAGAGAAGGCTGTTCTCTAAGAAGGCCCTCACAGAAATCAACATGGGACACAAGAAGTAAACAAACAAAGCAGCATGACTCATCTAAAAGTTCACAATATTCTAGTAAATGATTCCTGATACTGAAGTTGATGAAATGCCAGACCAAAAATTCAAAAGAATGATGTTAAAAATGATCCATGAATTTAAAGAGGATACAAATAAACAGCTGAATGAATTAAGAAAGACAACGCAGCATATGAAAGCAATTCAATAAAGAGAAATTCTGGAAAAGAACCAAACATAAATCTTGCATATAAAAAACTCAGAAAGTCAAACACACGGCTGGGGTTGTGGCTCAGTGGTAGAACACTTGCCTAGCATGTGTGAGACACTGGATTCGAACCTCAGCACCACATAAAAAAGTAAATAAATAAAGGGATTGTGTCCATATACAACTAAAATATATATATATATATTTTTAAATCAAACACAAAACTCGGTTGAAAGCTTTACTAATAGATTAGATCAGGTAGAATAAAGAATAGCACAGCTTTAAGACAAGGCTGATGAATTAATCACATTCAGATAGTAATAAAATAAGAAGAAACAGAACATACAATTTATGAGAATGACATTATGTAGGGCATAGTTGATACATGCCTATAATCACAGTGATTTAGGAGGCTGAGGCAGAAAGATC